AGCAATGTACAGTGCAAGAGGATAAGAGGGAATTCTTTTTTGAGATTGGTGCTGCCTTTCAGGGGTGAGGTGTGGTGAGACTGGCTAGATCTCTTGGTCGGAGACGTCCGAACTGAGAACAAACTCCTCTGACTGTATGACGACGTTTGTGAGCCAGTCCGTCTGTGGTGCCTTATCACACTGTTTGTTTCACTCATTGCTTCATCTTTCATCTGCAAGGCTTTGACACTGCTCGGATGGCGAAATGCCGCGCGGCAACCGCGGAGGTTTCGAGGGGACGTCGTCGCGGGCCGGGAGCTTCCAGATCGTTCAAAGGAGTAGAAGCCGTGCGAGTCTCGTTTTGAGGGTGTTCGAGGACCATACTGCTCTGGCTCGGAGTGTAGGGGCTGTGATATGGACGTCGGAAAAGAAGAAATCGAGGAGCATCCTGAGAAGACGCGCTGGCCGGCATCCTCGTTGCTCTCTTCATACCCGTCATCTGGCTGCGAAACGGTTTCCGACTCCGAGTTAGAAGTGCTCTCATCGTATACTGCGCCGGAGAAGTTATAGTCGTGAGTTTGAGCGCTCTCTGTCACCGGTGGAGTGGGTGGAGTAGTCAAAGGCGAAGAGGATGGGTGCTGCCGCAGTGAAAGCGGAGAGGACTGTTGGAATGCACATACATCTGGTTCCTCGTCCAAGAAAGAGGGACTTGCAGACGCGCACATCGCCATCATGCGACGACAGACAATCTGATTGAGTTCATGATCATGGCAACGGTGCCTGTGCGCAGCGCATGCACTTTAATGTTATTATTGAGAGGTTGCACAGGGCAACGATAAACAATGTTGTCTGACATTACTTTCTCTTCCCCAACTGGTGGTGCATTACTAAGACTGCCTGAAGTAGGTAACTGTCAGACAGAAAGTATTATCGGTCATTCGTTTAAGATCGCCGACGACAAACTTCATCACAGCCTCTCATCTCGTCACTTTCATCAATATATGTACCTAAAGTTTGGATTCTCTCGGTCCGTCAAATCATCAAATGCATGCACGTAATTATCATCTTTGGCCTCTCGAATCCCGGCTGAAACCAGCTCGTCCTTCTTCCGATTCTGCCGCTTGAGATGGAGCCAGAGGAACGCGATCACCAACACAAGGAGAACATAGCAGCCGAGGTGAGTGCTGAAGGCAATGAAATAGCGTGGGGCATCATATGACAGAAACACCTGCGGACCTGTTGTCGCCGAGTTAGTGAGCCGTTATGATCAACGTCAAGAGCTAGGAGAATCACAAACCGACGGCATTTCCGGTGCACCAGGCTACAAAATTCATTGTGACAACAATTGACTTCTTCGTCTGACCTCCAACATTTCGAGAAATCATGCTCATAGCGAGCGTCTGAGCGGCCCAGAATGAGAGCACGATATAGTAGCTGATGAGCAATCCCACTTTGGTCGCCGTGTCTGTGTTCCGGACGCTCATCAACACGATCGTGCCTACGAAAGATCTGATACCTTGTTAGTTCAGCACGGACCAAATTGGAGGAGAGTATTACGGTATGATGAAGAGCCCCATGACCAAGCAATTCTGATGGAATTTCTTAACGAGCCATGTCGAGGTAAGCAAGATGATGATTATCACAGCACCAAGAACCATTGCAAGCAGCTGTGTCTGAAGGACGGTGAAGTTGAATCCTTATGGCAAAGTCAGTACTTTCAGTTATCGCATGCGGAATTCCATCCTTACCTGTGATGATTATATTCGCAAAAGCTCCTAAGCCAGAGGTGGGCAAAGTCGTGCAAATCTGGATTAGACAGTAGCAGTACGTCTGTGGATCCAGGAATGCTTCCTTGACTTGCTCTGGACGGAACTTCTTGTTTTGCAGTCCTGTTTGATTGCTCCTCACTCGCTCAACCATCAACTTCTTGTCCTCTTCTGAGAAGCACTTTGCTTTCATTGGAGAATCAGGCATCCACCAGCCGACGAAAAGCCCCCAAAGCACGGAAAAGCAGCCATAGGCAATGAAAATCGCTTGCCACGATTTCAAAGGCCCAGACTGGATTTGGGTGAAGCAATATGCCAGTAGGCCACCCACGATTTGCTGGCCTCCACTGTTCTGTCATCAGCGCCGAAATGACTATTTCGAAGATACAAAGCCCATTAAGACTTTACGACCTTCAATATTGCGTTGTCTGAGAACTTACTTCATCATGTACCAATATGTTACCGTTTCGGCCTGCTCTTCTCGCTTGTACCACATGCTACTGAGGATGAGGAAACTGGGCTGACAGACCGCTTCGAAGATGCCTAGTAACGTCCTCAGGGTCACGATTGTGGCAAAGTTCGTTGCAACCGAGTGGAGAGCGAGGACTGCGCCCCAGAGGCAAATGTTCAAAGCAAGGTACTTTGCAATCGGCACCCTCTGAATAGTCCAGTTTGTGGGATATTCCACAATGAGGACGGCGATATAGATACAGGTTGTGAGCCACGAGTACTGTCGATTGGGTCAGTTACTAGACTTCAGTTTAGGATGGGTTCCCACCTGTTGTGCGTGGAGATTCAAGTCCTCTCGAATGCCCATGATGGAAGCAAAAGATATGGTACCTTTGTCGAGAGCTTGAAGGAAGTATGTCGGAACCATTATGGCAAGCACGCGCCTGTCAATCATGCGTCTCAAGCGCCTGTTTTCTTCCTTGGATATCTCGACATGCGTCGCATTCGCATACTTTGCGACGTCCTTGTCGATACGGTCATAGTCGATGAAATCCTTCTGCAGATCGCTGCCACCAGACACCACCCTCTCGATCTCAGAGATGTCCTGCTTCTCCAAAGCACCTTTCTGGTTGGCGTCTGTTGGAGAGGGCGCAGCATCGCCAGCGATATGATCAGATCCAGCCATAGTGCTTCTTGAGGTGTCGATAGTGTAAGTGCAAATGGTTTGAAAGCCCCAGCTCAGTGGGAATGTAGTATCTGCTCCTCAAACACTTCCAGCTGTGCACCATTTCCCTATATGCTGTTGCAGTCCATGCCCTTCGGTACAGCAACGAACGAAAGCCTCGGAGGACAATCAACCGAAGGAGAGCATCAACTCTTGTTCGCGAGGATGAGGTCTGCAGACAAAGTGAGAGGTTCAGTCGGACTCCCCAGTCGGACTACTGAGTTGGACTCTACCGTTGGCCTCCCCCGGAAATTGCCCAAATGCGGACCTCATGAACGGCCCGAAGGAAAAGGCTCCATTGGCATCTCCGCAGTCTCGCTAGGTCGATCGCACCCGATCGAGAGTAAGATCCCCACAAACCCACAAACCAAGTCTCATCCAACGCTTGGCTGCAGAAACCAGGATTATAGGGTTAAAACCATCTCGGTACATTTGATGCCGGGAGGGGAAGGACATTTGATGAAGAACGGTGAGGATAAAAAGCGTAGGAGAAGGTTATTGGACTACTCAACAATACGGGCAGCGAAAGTCATGCCATCTCCTTTGGCTATTGAGGCATTGACTGCAACAGATATCTCACAAAAGATCGAACTACTGATCCACAATCTGGTCAACATCAAAGACGAGACAGGGCATTTCTTGTTGAAACTGCCCGACGGACGGATTATCGACACCAAAGGTTGGCATGATTGGGAATGGACTCATGGAATTGGCTTATATGGCCTGTATCAATATCATGCCTTGACATCCTCTCCAGTGGCACTCAGCACCATGCAAGACTGGTTTTCGAGGAGGTTGGCTGAAGGCACCACCAAAAATATCAACACCATGGCAGCCTTTCTCTCTCTGGCATATCTATATGAAGAGACGAGAGAACGAAGCTATCTGCCTTGGTTGGAGTCTTGGGCGGAGTGGGCGATGCACGATTTGCCTCGAACAACTTTTGGAGGGATGCAGCATATAACGTATCTTGAAGAGAACCACAATCAACTCTGGGATGACACGCTTATGATGACCGTTATGCCTCTGGCAAAGATTGGGAGACTACTCAATCGCCCCAGCTACGTGGAAGAAGCCAAACGGCAGTTTCTTCTACACATCCAGTACCTTTACGACCCTCAGACCGGGCTCTTCTTTCACGGTTGGCAATTTACCGATGACGGTGATGCTCAATTGGGCCATAATTTCGCGCGAGCGAGGTGGGCTCGGGGCAATAGCTGGGTGACGATTGCAATTCCGGATTTTATCGAGCTCCTAGACTTGCCTTCGGATGACGGCCTAAGATTATACCTGGTCGGTGTGTTGCAGGCACAATGCAGAGCTCTGCGGGCCTTACAAACCAAAGAGGGCATGTGGCGGACTTTACTCGACGTGTCAGAAGAGGAAGGGAGTTACCAGGAAGCATCGGCCACTGCGGGATTCGCCTATGGTCTTCTGAAATCGATACGGAGACGGTACATCTCAAAGGAATATCTGGACGTTGCAACGAGAGCAATCAAGGCCGTGATTCAACGAATCAGCAAAGACGGCGAATTGTCGCATGTCAGCTTTGGCACTGGGATGGGCAAGGATCTCAAGCATTATCTGGACATTGAGAGGACCAGTATGCCGTATGGTCAAGCGATGGCGATGATGGCTTTGGTGGAATTTCTTCGGTTGTATAGATAGAGAGACCCAACACGACGACGATGATCGTGACCAGCACATCGAATAGAGCACATTCAAGGTAAGAGGAATAGCTTTGTCTATGACTACAATCCAGGTACGACACAACTACATCCATACTGTATATTGGACACATAGCTTGATTTTGGCCCCTTGAATTGTGCCGCTTGTTGCAAAGGCCGAGGTATGCACCAATGTAGTATTGCTTTCTTGCCATGGCGAGCGACGGATTGTGTAAGTATAAGCACTAAGCAACAACGAGTAATTTTGCGACTGTTTGAGATTCCAGCTGGACTCATCACATAACACACCTAGGTATATATACCTAGAAAATGAGAAAGGTGTTTACAAGATCCTCCGTTTAACACCAAACCGACTTCATTGATCTCCCGCAAGAGAGGACCCTACAGATGACCATGACAACCACCGCCGGCGAGTCCGCTCTTCCGCACTATGTGCTGCTCGGTATATGGTGTTGGATATACACAGTCTCTGCGGTAACTCGCCCCTGAAATGTCATGTATGCCTGGGGGGAGCCTTTGAAAAGTCAACGCTGATCTATTTGTGCGTCACTTTCGCAGCTACTCGGCTTTGCACTGCTACGACTACTGTACAATATATCACCATTTCATCCTCTGGCCAAATACCCAGGGCCGCTACTGTGGAGAGCGTCCCGTCTCCCGGCTTCCTGGCGTCAGGCTCGCGGCGATCTATACAAGAGCATCGACGCCATCCACAAAAAATACGGACCGGTGGTTCGGATCGCGCCCGATGAGCTTTCATTCACAAACCCAGAAGGCTGGGCCCAGATCTACAACAGTCGACCTCAGCTGCAGAAAACGCGTTTCCACTTCCCGTCGGCCGAGACGCGCAAGGTGCCCGAGAGCATGATCATGGCCAGCGACGCGGACCACACTCGGCTCCGGCGCCTCGCCAACCCTGCCTTCACGACCACGGGGGTTCTAGAAGTCGAGCCCGTGATGCAGCACTACGTCGACCTGCTCTGTACACAACTGACCGAGGCCTGCCACGAGGGCTCGCAGAACATGGTCGAGTGGTTCCTCTGGACGCTCAACGACGTGATCGGCCAGCTGGCCCTGGACCAGGAGTTTGACTGTCTCAAGAAGCGCCGCATGCACCCCTGGCCGAGCTTCCTCTTGCAGGGTCTCAAGAAAGCCACCATCTTCAACCAATTCCGCCGCTTTGGGATCACCGAGAGCATGCTGATGCCGTTGATGACGGCGAAGCAGCTGCAGGAGAGGAACAACTTCTTCGACGCGGCCAATTCGGCGGTGAAGCAGCGACTCGATCGTGAGGACGACGAGGGCGGCAAGGAAACGAAGAAGAAGAGACCCGACATCGTGGGCCTGATGCTGCGCGAGATGAAGGACGGCAACCGCCTCACCCACGACGAGGTCGTCTCAAACTCGGTGCTCATCGTCGGTGGCGGCGCCGAGACGACGAGCACCTGCCTGAGCGCGACCTTTTACCACCTCTGCAAGACGCCCCGCGTCATGAAGAAGCTCCAGGACGAGATTCGCCGCACCTTCACGGCCAGCGGGGACATCACCGTCCGTGCGACCTCCAACCTGCCCTATCTCAGGGCGACCGTCGACGAGGCCCTGAGGATCTTCCCCGTCGCCAGCTACATCACGCCGCGAACCACGCCCAAGGGAGGCCACCTGATCGCCGGCGAGTTTGTACCGGAAGGAGTAAGTTCCTCTTTCCAGTGTACCCAATCCCCCGTTTCCCCTTTTTCTCAGTGACTCTTCTGTATCTTGCCCGCTAGGCCTAAAGCGCAGAGACTAACGACGAAAACCATTTGTGAAACGTTGACAGACCTACGTCTCAATGGGCCAGTGGCACATGGGGCGGTCCGGCCGACTGTTCGACAACCCCAAGGAATTCCGACCGGAGAGATGGCTCGATGAGCTCGGCGACAAAGGGCCCTCGGGCCTACAGGCCGACGAGATCCTGAAGCCCTTCAGCCTGGGTCCTCGAAATTGCATTGGCAAACAGTGAGTCTTTCCCCCTCTCCTTCTGATTTACACACAGGTATATACATGAGTATATACGAGTATATGCAAAGTACATACCTATGCAGGTGCGATACCTGTCACATATTCCGCTACTGATTACTTCAACACTTGAAACTAGGGTGGCTCTCACCGAAGCACGCCTCGTCATTGCAAAGTTGCTGTGGCACTTCGACATGGAACTTGACGGGGATCATTCTACGTGGGTGGAAGATGCGAGGTTCTATGTGAGATTTGCCCCCTTGATTCTCTACAAACCCCCGGCGCTGTCTGTTTCATGCTGACTCGCTGACTCTTGGAATAGGTTCTGTGGGAACTTCAGCCGCTGAAGGTCAGGTTGACGCCGGTTGAGCGTGGAATGTAGCGTTGTTACATCATTTTATCACTACCTTCGCGTTTAAAGAAATGGGTCTGAAACTAGATGCGCAAGAGAATCTAATATTAGCACATGTCTGGTTTCCCTCTATAGCCTGCCCCGTGAGAGAATGGCGCCGCCATCGGTCGTGATGACCGCACCGTTGATGTGTGAGGCTGCCCTGCTGCTCAAAAAGACCACCAAACCCGCAATATCCTCAGGACGCCCAAGCCTCTTGTTCGGTACTTCGGCTGCCATGGCGGCCTGTCCTCCTTGCAACTCTAGCAGGCCAGAAGCCATCTTGGTGGGATAGAAGCCAGGAGCGACGGCGTTGGTGATGATTCCTCGGGGGCCGAGCTCGACGGCCAGGTTCTTGGCCAGGTGTATCGCCGCCGCCTTGGACGCCGCGTAGGCGGGCGTCGAGTTTTCGCCGATCGTGCCAACGCCGATACCAGCGACGCTTGCAGTTATGATGACTCTGCTGGGGTTCTCTGTGGTTGCGTTCTTCTGCAATAGCGGGGCGAGTTTCTGGACGGTATAAAACACGCTCTTGACATTTAGATCCATGACCTTGCTGAATGCGTTTTCCGGGTGTGTGTCAAAGGGTGCTCCCCACGTTGCGCCGGCGTTTGCAAAGAGAATGTCGACGTGGTCCGTGGTCTTTGCGATCTCGGCCGCGAGACGTTCGATTTCTGAGATCTTCGCCGCGTCGGCGGGGATGGAGATGGCGACCGCGCCAGGTCGTTTGTTGGGGAGCGCATTGAGGGCGGCAACGGCTTCTTCGCACGCTTTGGCCTTGCGGGAAGTGATGTAGACCTTGGAGCAGCCGGCTTGCAGGAATCTATTGACTTGGGTGTCAGCGTGCCCCAACGTCCCCGGTGAAGGCTGTGGGTTGTGTAGCTTACCCAGAGGCGACATTCAGTCCTAGTCCTCGCGAACCTCCAGTCACGACAGCGACCTTGCCTTCGAGACTGAATATGCTCCCAAAGTCCTGGAGCTCGACATCCTGTTGGGCACTACCCATCTTGTCTGTTTGATCTCTTTGTTTTTTTGTGGGTTTCCTGTCTCTTTTCCGTCTATGATGAGCCACACAGTAAATCCGACACCACGTTCAAAATACAGCAATCCGGAGTATTGCAGTCTCTGTCGGGGAGTTGTTATGGTCGAGAGGATATTATACGAACGGAAATGGGTCAATTGCCGAACTATTGACGAGTCGCTGGTCATCCCACAATTCCGTAGTGCTGTTGATTAGAAGATGCGCAATTCCGGTGGGATTGGAAAATCGGCGCTGTTGAAACAGCCGAGGCTCGAACGAACTGGAGCTGAGATTCAGCATTGAGTTTGGGAGGTTGTTTGTTCATTCCGCCGTCTTGATTTATCTGTATCGATGTGCCAAATGTTTCGTGGTTCGGAATCTGCGTTGTAGAAGCGAGATGAAAGTCCCTGATATGTGGAAGTTGAACGCGACCCTTGTGGTGGACAAAAGTACAAGTGCCGAGTACCGAGCACAAACTTGTATATTCTCTGTCCGCAGGTGCAGACCTAGGCAGTTCCATCAACTCCTACAGTGTCACAGTGTGTTGCTTAGCTGCTCCACGCAACAGCCAATGGCTGGTGAGAATCGCAGGTACTAGATATCCTTCATTACGCCCGCTCGGTAGGTCTGAGAAGGTGGTATCAGGCCCTCGCCTCTTACCACACCATCTCACCGGCTTTACGATGACACCAACATGAGCGGCGACGTCTCCGATGTCCAACTCCTTGCAATGGGGGTCAGCCCGTGCCTTGAAGGACTGTGCGGCCGCTTGTGACTACTCGTTGCTGAAGATTGTCGCAAGGCCCGTCAGTCACTGATCAGCTTATGTACGCGGCAGCTCCTTCACCAACCGTCTCATCTGAGTATGTAGTTCCTCGAGCAACTTTGCTGTCAAAAGACATTTCTCTTCTTCACAAACCTGAACAGGACCGACTGGAACCGACAGCGATGGCCGACAACAGCATCAGTATGTTTCCAGAGACAGATCCTGAACTTGCTGAGGTGCGTCCACTCGTCGAATGAACCTCACGGCGATACCTGTCTAACGTATTTCACATGTTAGATATGGAGGGAGAAAGGTGTGCCCAAATTCTTCCTTCCCCGGGTTGACAAGATGCCTCAAACGCGGGCTCTCCACGCTCAAGGCAATGTCCGGTTCATGAAGAGCGCTTTCGTCAAGCAGACTTTGGGCGATCAAGTCCTTTGGACAGAAGAAGACAGATCGGTCGTCGTCCGCGATGGGCACTCGGTCGCAATTCGGATCTATCGCCCCAAATCACATCCCGGACCCCGACCAGTCATGGTTCTTGCGCACAGCGGTGGATTGTGCATGGGTGGACTGGACACGGAGGAGTTCATCTGTCAGCTCCTGTCTATGAGGCTGGGCATCGTCGTCGTCAGTGTCGCATATCGCCTCGCCCCGGAACGGTTGTATCCCACCTGCGTCTACGATGTTTACGATGTCATTAAATGGGTGCGTTGAGCACAGATGTCGCTTCTTGCATGGACTGACCCCATGATAGCTATCAGTCAATACCCAGACCATCGGTGCAGATTTGTCCAAAGGCTTCCTCACAGGCGGCGTTTCAGGGGGTGGGAACACGACATGCATGGCTGCTATTATGGCGAGAGACGATAAACTGCAGCCTCCTCTGACAGGACACGTCTTCATCTGTACCGGCATGCCCCACGATTACACGGACCAGAAGGGGCACAAGCTCTCCCTCTTCCCAGAACAGTTGTTGAAAGGGAGTTGGGAAAGGTATAAAAATGGGCCGGTGGCTACTCGGGAGATGAACATCCTGTATGGCCGTAAGTTATGCTCACTTCTATTCAAGGCTGCGAACAGAGCTCACACCAGTGATACAGAAATCTCTCAATTCGACGCGCGAGATCCCTATGTGACCCCTTTGACGCAGACAGACTACTCTGGACTGGGTCCGGTGTTCTACCAAGTCGCCGAGATGGACATCTGGAGGGACAGTGCCCTTTTCTACTGCGAGAAAATCAAGGAGGCCGGCGGCCAAGTCAAGGTGGAGGTATATCCTGGCGTGCCGCATCTGTGGTGGTCCATGTACCCGCAGCTTTCGATCAACAGGAAGTGGATTCAGAATCTGGTCAACGGCGTCGAGTGGCTGCTGAGCCTGCAACGGGGTGGCGCTGCTCTCCCTTCTAGACTCTAGTAGAGGTCTCGACTATTGCTAGACGGACAAACGCGGGCGATACACCACTTGAGATCTGTGTAACCGCACGGGACAATTTGTTTGCTGCTTGCAAACGAGGCTGTAGGACAATCGCAGCCAACAGGGCACATGGTTGATAAAGGCAAGTGTTAACTTGGACGTTGCTCTTATTTCTAGGCACTCGGAACGGCATGAGATTCAGGATCGAATTCATTGGAAGCACTCTCGCCGACGAAGATGCTTAGATGTACCGTCGAGGAAGTCCTTGGGTGACCGCTGACCAGGCTGAAGCTCATGTATGTTTCTTCTCCTTGATGGGGTTTTTCTTGAGCCACTTGTTTGCCTCCTTTGGCTATTGGTTCCCGACCTTTCTATACTGTGTGACCTTTGATTCCCATGTCCCACAGCATCTCATCTCATCTCAAGTCAACTCAGCCTCATCATCCCCGTTGAGAGTGGAAGAGGAACTTGCCCAACATTGACAATTACTTTACCTGATGCGTTGCGCCTCGCCAATATCTCTGTCTTCTCTCATCTCATCTTCAGCTTTCGTGAAAAGACACACCTTCTGTCGCCTTGGCTGAGGTGAGAGTGAATGTGGCACGGTTCATACAAAAACTCTCGAGGGTTGATTGAACAGTTCACCCTTTCTCTCCCTCATTCTTATTCTTCTCTCTCCATTCAATTCTGTTCCTCTCGAACTGGGAGGATCATCATCTCAAGAATTACATCCAATCCTCGATTGATCGATTCCTTCATCTGACACCAATACTCTGCCCTTAATACAGCCTCCTCTACCGTGTCGCCGAGAAGGCTTCTTACTCTCGCGTCACCATGGCTCCGTCCGGTTTTCCAGGGCTCGGCCTTTTCATAATCTTCTTCTTCTACTTCTCATTCCCCTCCCCTGTCCAAGCTCAGATGCCCGTCTCCACGTCGTTGCCACCCATCTCTCAAGCGCCGCCATCGTCACCGACAAATCCACCCGATACACCTCCGACCCCATTCACGACCACAGAGGTATACACGCCCTTTGCGCTCTGCGCGACAGGAGGAGGCGACTGGTACATCGACCCGCCCACAGCGACTCGACTGGCGGATTTGTTCTGCGATGAGGTGCATAAGCCGGGAAATCTCCCCGCGCAAGGTATTTCTCGTCCCTTTCTGTGGATGCTGGTTGGAATGAATCCCCAGTGTTGCTTATCCTGCGATGCATTATTTCCCCATTCCCCACTGTCTTGTCTTTCTTTCTTTCTTCTTCAAGCCCATATCCTTACTCCAGGTGCTATAACAGGGAAAGAGTTCGACCTGAACGAATATCCCACCGACCTCGTCGCGCTCACCGCGAACGACACCACCACAACCGACTACTACAACAACACCATCCTCGTCCGCGCCGCTGACAAGCTCAAACGGGCCGACAAGGAAAACCTGAGTATGGACGTCGCGACCATCGCGCCAAACTACACCCTCACGGAACTGTCCGGGATCATCATGGCGCTGCGGCTGTTTCGGTGGAAAGACACCGTGCTCGACGACGTGACGTACGCGTCGGGCACACAGGCGCAGTGCGACCAGGACGCGGAGCAGGACCAGTGCCGCGCGGGCCTGCGCCGCGTCATCGACAAGTGCCAGTGGAACAGCCACTACTTTGGCGGCGTCAACTTCTGGATGACGGGCTGCGGCATGTACGGCGTCCAGGTCGCAAACTGCTCGGGCAACTGGCTCGATCCGAACTGCGACCTGTGGCATCGAAAGTGGCCGGATGTTGGCAGCGGGCCGGATCAGTCGCTTCTCACTACCTTGGCGACGTCGTTTACGGCATCGACGGCGACAGTGACCACGGAGAGGGCGTCAAGTTGACCTAAAAAGGGGACACGATCAGCCTCAGCTTGTCTACAGCCAGACAGCCAGAGAATGTCAATCGGGGCAGACAACACCGAGTTCTTCATCCTATGTGAGAGCTGTGGATAGTGTGGTAGGTTGTGACGGTGATAGGTGGTGATGGTGCTGGTACTGAAAGGACGAGTGCTACATATTCACCATCAGGGGAACAGTTTCAATGAACCTGTTCTCCTGGGACAAGGTGTACTTTACTCCAAGGAAAGTGAAAACCAGTCATTAGCTTTCTTTCCATGCTGGCTAGCTGGCGCTGTGTGATGGATGGGAAGGAGACATAAAACATCAAGAACGGGATGCTGTGCTACTGCGCTACCGGGGTTGACATTTTCAACGGCGAACATGTCAAAGTAGTAGTCCAGGAATGACGCCGTGCTGTGCTGTGGCGTGCTGTGCTGTCTTTTCCGCTCACTGACTCTTTCACTCACGGTCACCCATGGGCTAATGTTAATGGGTGAACACGCAGTGCAGTCTTGATCCCATGCCTAGGTAAGGAAATAGATTCTCTCCTGAGTCTTGACGGACGAATGGATGGACAGACAATATAGTCTTGAAGATGGAAAAGAATGCACAGCGACTTTGGACAGCTTCTATTAGCCACGTAACCAATGAAACTTGTTATCGCCTTGAGATGCTCCAATAGCGGAGGAGGAGAAAAACAAGGATAGAATTTTTCTTTTTGTTCATACAAAAGTGAGTGTGTGGCGGAAAAATGTAATTCGAGAAATTGAGATATGCTTGCTTCCAAGGCTCACCTCCCTCCCACGCCATTCATCCGTCCATCCATCCTCTTTCCTTCAACGTTGGACCAACTTACTCACATTCCAACTGCCGCAACGATACAGGCTCCCAGAGTCGCACGTTCAAGAATTGAGAATGACAGCGCACAAGGACATACGGTCGCCAGCTGAGAGCCCTCGATGTCCTCTTGAAGGTTGTCATTGCTGATCAGGATCTTGACTTTTTAGGCCTCGATCAACCCATGCGCACTCTGCCTGTTGCGTGTCCCTGGAAAGAATGAATGGATTCAAAAAGCCACTACAGGCTGAACTCGAGCCTGTTCCCGGCGTAGTCTCTGGCGAAGAACCGTTGCGGATATTCCACGCCTTGGGATCCTTTTCACACGGACCAGCCGCATTAGTTAATTTCACAGCATATTCCTGAATGCATGGGTATGTGATTCCCTTATCCGTTTTCTCCCGCCCGACTTGACTACAGATAGGCAAAAGAAATCATAAGGAGGAGACTCACCAGAATTGACATCTCCAGGCTTGTCCGCCTCGGTCGGCGCCGCCTCGCCGCCGCGCACGAAATGCTCCCAGATCCTCTGCCTCAGCTGCAAAAGCGCCTCCGGGGACGCCAGCCGAAAGCACGGATGCCGCGACGACCGCTTCTCGAAATCCGAGGGCGCGCCAAACGCAACGTGCACTTGCTGGCCCGAGGACCCAATGTCGAACCACGCCAAAGTGCCCTTTTGCAATTGCGGGACCGCCCGCGGCGTGAGGCCCATGGTCGTCCCGTAGAACTCGTTGGCCTGCTCGAGCGTGCCGGCCGGGACGGTGAGGTTGACGTGGGCGAGGCCCGTGATGAGTGACGATGAGTCGAGCGATCCCATCCTTTCTCGGGTGTGGGTTTCACACTTTACACTGGTGCAAACGTGTGCGGAGAGCGAGAGTGTGTGTATGTGAGGGCGGTGGTACTCAGTTTCCAGCCTCTCCTGCTTGATTTTGTGCTGTTTCCTTTTCCTGCCTCTTTTCACTCTTTGGACTCACGCTTACTTTCCCAGTTTCGAGGATTGGGAGAGGTCGTTGGCTTGAGGACGTGTTTGGAGTCGGTAAAGGATGCCGAACGAGGGGTTACAAACGTCGGTATTTGCTCCGGCTTCTGCCACGACGAGGTGAGATTTTGTCTGACGAGGGTCTCCCAGAGTCTGGATTCGGAGCACAAATGTCCTGGCGAGTCTTTGTATGAGAGGATTGCACCCCGCCAGACAGTTTTTGATTCTGTCTTCTCCGAGGCGAGGTGCAAAGCATCCCTGGTCAACGTGAACTGCGCTTACAAAGGACGCACAACTCGAAGGCTCTACTAATCACGCCATCAACTGCAATACTTCCGACAGCTCTAGAATCCCGCACTCCTTGGGTCCCTTTTGCAGAGATGCGAGAGGGCTCAAGCATCGAGGGGACGTAATGTAGATTCCAATCTGGGCGAGGTCTAGACTGTCAAGAGGTCGAACACACTGCAATATCACTCGATCTCAAAGTTACCACATTCTTACCATCTTCCATCACCACTCTTTTCCCAGGCCAACAGCCATAATTGTAAAGCTACTGTTCTTCGGCTTCGACCTTCTCAAGCTCTAGTCCAGCTCGCCAATGTTGAACCAGTAACACACGTCCCGTGAAAGCCAACGTTGAGCAACTTTGGAGCTTACAGTTCTCGAAGAAGGGACAGAACAAAGAGATCGTGAGAATTCTGCCACATGAGGATATGTCTCGCTAATAGTCACAAATATATGAGGTCAAGTCGATGGACGTGCCTTACTTTCTAACTTCGGCCAATACTCACAGCCCCGGCGTCCCCTTGAACCGCACCCGCGTCAGCACACGCGTAAACTACTTGCCCCTTGAAGTATCCAAACCCTGGGATTAGTTGTGCCGAACGAGACCCTTTCGCCCCGAGCCGAGATGAATCATTGCACAACCGCGATTTCTGAGCGCCACGGGCACGAGGCCGCGACGGGAGGAACAGGTTGGCATCGGCATCGGCATCTCATAACTGAGTTTCGACAAAGGCTGGATGTTATTCGTGTGCACTGACCGCTCCTTTTCGCAGGCAGATACCATACCAATCAAGGGTTGGATAGTGCCTTATTTGGCTCTTCCTCCGTCCGCCTGACGATGAGCTTGACAATATCTGGGCAGGTGTGGAGAAGTCAAGAAACCTGAAAAACAACATTGCCCACTCCATACTCGTGGTCATACTTTACCATTGGCAAATTCTGCTCCCCACGAGACGGACACATTACGTCGATGTGTCAGCAACTTGAGACCTGACACCACTGAGAGTGGGCGTGACGCTAGGTCGTCATCGAGCCTGAGCAAGGCCGTCATGATTCATGTCAGAAGACTGCGAATTTGTCGGTTGTCGGCGAACAGAAGTTGGGTTCATAGACAGCCAACCTTGAATGGACCCGTACACGGAGGGCTGTTAAGGACTCTCAAGCATCAAGCATCACTCCGAAACCGAGAATGACACGTTGTCCACCACTTGGGCTCGAAGAAAGTGCGTCTGTTTTGAGAGAGGTCACTGGAGCTCAGATCTTACCTGACCACTGGTCTAGGTTTTTGTCAAACAGGGTATCCTCGCAGACTTAGCACTGCCCTCACTCCATACCGCCTCTCGATTTTGTGGGGGTATCGGAGCATCAAATATTGGGACAAGCACCTTGAAGGGTTGGGCAGGGGCAGGTCTAGGTTTTCAGGAGACAGATAAATATGCCGGTAGATACCAACAGGACGTTGAATGTGGATGGAAGTCTTCCGGAACAAATGAGGGTCGCTTGTGGCTTGGGCCTTGGAGGAAGATCTTCACCTTCCCGGTCAAACCCGCAAATAGCAAAGGCTTTGAATTCCAAGACTACCGGCGCATCACCGACATGCACTGGTCCCTTCCCATGAGAATAGAGTGCGCGCCATGGGTTGCGGTGCCTGTGCGCCCAGTTCTGTACAAGAACCCCTTCAGCCCCTTGCTGTCGCACAATGCCGTTGGGAATGGGCGGAAGCCACCAGCTGCTGCTGTTGCCGCGCGGGAGCATCCTCAATTCCAGAGGACAAAGATCGCCCCCATTTAACCTTATGAGATGTGGTCTGTTCTCGCCACGGGGGATCAATCAAAGGTGAGGCTCGGTGGCCCTGGTGAGACAGCGTGGATTGTTAGAGGGTGATCGCTTGACTGAAAAAGCAATCCTCCACCCCCGTGACGGATGACGTCGTTGTGTTCCCTTTTGGCTTGTGGGTTTTTGCCCCCGCAAGAGAATTGTTTATGCCAGAGAATATCTCGATCCTCGCTGCCTGGGGCGGATGTAGCAAACAGGTCCCATATGATGCCACCAACACCTCCCTCCTCTTATGGTTTTTGTTCTCCAGCGTCGTGATAGCCTGGCATACTGTGGCAACCACCCGCCACGGTGCCGAGGACGAACCCTTCTCATATATCTGTACCACGCAGGGACTCTCTCCCCCAGAGTCACCGCGGTCCCTGCGTCAAGGGAAAAGCTCGTGTTGACAGAAGGAAAACGGACAACGTGACAAGGGTTATCGTGCGTCAAGGGATTATGGGGCGCGAAAGGTATCCGGGTCGTTAGCGCTTCGTTTGGGTCTTGTAACGACCTTGGTGTTTCCTATCCAAGCCATAGGACTCGCCCATCTCTGATGGTGTCATAAGCATTTGGCAAAATAATTGGCGGGCAGATACCACGTAGGTCTGTCGGATAACTGGGGCCGCGTCCATACTTTGGTTATAATGTGCTGGTAGTCCGGTCTTCGGGCGACTCTCACGCAACGCTATAGGCTGAGGTCAAGCCTACCCACGACGACTCTTTGAAAATATCCGAATCTTCAGCGATTATTCAACCGGCGAGTACACTAGGAACGTCGATCTTTCGTGTGTTGATGTGCCACTATTCCACCACGCAACCCCACTCGGTGATTCACCGGAGTACGAGACTCGACTTGAAGAGGTTTTTGGGAAGACGCAGGTTCGAGCAAGGAAACCGAATTCCAGGATGGCTCTAGGAGTGTCAGGGCTGCTGGGGTCATGGACTCGATGCACAGGAGGCTCTCTGGCAAGAGGGTGTGACCCTCATGCACCGCGTTTCGACGAGTAGGCTGGGATAAGCCCGGTGGCCTCCTTTGGAGTTACAATGGAGTAAGTGAAACTTGAATGTCGGCGTGATCCTCAGACCGATGGCAACTCCGGTTGGGAGAGATGATGTCGATCGAGGAGTAAGAACGAGTGATCAACGACGTCAATCCGCAGGACTTTTTGCAGCCGCCGCAGTGACTAAGTGGCCTAGTTAGACCGCAGGAGGTATAGCGGCTCATCTTCACCCATTCTGACCACCTTGAGCAATCATCTGAGAGGCTCCCCCTTACACAAGCGGCTGCCTAGTCCCGTCTCCCGTCCCATTCCTCTTGGCCACTCTCCATCTTTCGCTTGCCTTAGGCGGTGCGGTTTCCGGCTATCCGTTCGCCAATTTTCGTGGTCTCTGTCCGCCCAAGGGCGTCTCTTTACCTGGAACGAGCCCAGGGACCATTGTCAGTGGTGGTGTCCAGGTGCTGCCCACTGCCCTCCGACTTTTTCCACCACACGTTTCTTTCACTGGCCACAAACAGCCTTGCGCCATCTCATCTCCCACACGCCATCATCATTATTTTTGCTCTGGAAATCGTGACCCTTTGTGACTCGCCACCACCGCGTGGCCGCCATCGCTTGTGTCTATCTCACACCCTTGCCGCAACACCACCCACCTCACCCCCCAACCCTCGGCGATGGCTTCTTGATGTAGAAGAGGACACTCCTGCCACCGAGAAGGAGTGACTGAAACACGCAACGACGCTGACCCTCGCCCTGTTTGTGAAACCCTTTTCCACCTACCAAAAGAAATCCAAGCACCCAGCGTCTCATCCAATCCCAACAGCCCACTCAAAGGCTGGCAATCTCTGACTCCCAGGAGGCAACGATGCTGTTGATCACCCCCCCCATGGTCCACCAAAGGCTCAGGTGAACGACGTAACTTGGCCAGCGATCCGTGGGACGACCGACCCCCGGTCCACAAAACCGCAAGCTCCTCACCACTCAAGCCCCTTTGCTGTAGGAGATTCCTGAGCTCAGTACCCAGGTGCCAGCTCGCCAGGGCATTCATCCGCTTCAGGCCCTTCACGTTTGACTTTGCAGGTTCCGCTCTTGGGCAACAGGGAGCCCATATTCCTCTCCAGCAGTTAACTTTGCCCTGTGACGATCATCTTATCCACCTTCCAACCATTCACGACAATCATCGTCCACTCCAGTTTACTTCCGCTTCGCTCAACTTCGCCGACCCTGGTTGCGGCCCAGTAACCCTGCCATCGTCCCTCCCTCTGCGGCAACCCGTGCCCTCCCTTCCCCAAGGTCCCAAATACTTCGTCAACCCACTTGGGCAGCCTCGGGCCTTTACTCGTATCTGCTCTCCCAAACCTGTCTTCACAGCCTTCCCTTTTCCAACGAAACCCGTTGCATCTTTGGTTGACACCACCTGAACGGGTGTTACCGCCTTGGATGCTCGAAATACCTTAGGACTGGCGCTGGACCTAGGTCATTGCGCTCGTCTTGGATTGCACGCAAGGCCAATGCGTCATTCGGCAACTCCAGAACGTCGGTCAAGCAAGATTGGGACAACAAATAGGACAAGTAGAGTGCTGGCAAAAGATATCTTAAGCCTGGCCGAGGCCCGATGCGAAGCTCTTCAACATCATCGTCCACGGCTACGGCACCCTTCCCTTATCCAGTCTCTATGACTGGGCACGAACTATCAGACATAGCACATCGCCCATCCATATCTCCTCCGATCTCAAGTGGTTCTTCATCTTCTTCTGAGTCGGACTTCCCACAACCCACCTCCCCTCGGGCAGTCTCGCGAAGGACGCGGATGGAAAGACCCCGACTGGGAGACAGGCAAAGATCCAACACCATCATCGTACCAAAAGGGCGAGACGTGGTTCAGCGAGAAAGACCCCAATACCCCCCGGACGACGCAAGAGCCATGAGTCCACGGCGCAACAGTGAGGACATCGAGCGAATAGAGCGTGGGCTTCGCGAGACTCTGAAAGAGTAGGAGGCACTTCCCTGGTACAATGAACTGCTTCACATACTAACAAACACTACAGGCAAGCGCGAAATCTGCAATCTTCGCTCGCAGCCCTAGCAGAAAAGATCGACGAAGTCAAGAACGATCACGACAAGCTCGAGACCGAGAACCGCTTCCTACAGGATTACATCGGCGGCCTGACGAGAACCATGTCGAGAGACAATCTTGGCCGAAGCGCGAGTACCAGCAGCAAGAAGAAGGGCAAACGATGAACGACGACCGTTACGACACCCATATCTGTTTATTTTCCCTTTGACCTTATTGGCCACCGAAGCACGTCTGGACTTTTCATCGCAAGCATGGCATTCGGATGGAAAAAAAGGAACGGAAGAATCACTAAGCCTCAACCTCTCAGTACACGCAAGAGACACAGAGGCAAACGGGTGGACGAGTTCTTGTATTTGTCAATCACTCCATGTGTCCTTTATGATACCCACGCCCATTTTACCAAGCTGGCCAAGCACCAGACGCAGAAAGATTAGAATTGATTATTATCACCACCGTTACCATCATTATCAACAGCAGCAGCAACAACAGGACCAGGACCAAAGCTCCCATCCCGTTTGATCATTAGCAGGTGCCCTTGCCATTCTTGTACAACAATTTCAACCGGCTTGGCTTTACGGCGTTCATTGGCGCAAGCCTTGGTGGAATTGGTTCATTATTATCCTACCGATGTCGGTGGGATTTGTGCAGTTAATTGGATCGGATCAGCCTGGGCGATTCAGTCGCTTGGTGTTTTTAAAGAAAGCCTTGCTTGCAGTCGGCAAAAGCGTGAATGGACTGGACGTCGGTGGCATTGGCGTGTGCGTCCTCTGCTCTGAGGCGAAGATTGCCATAGAGCTGTGGCATTGGCGTATTTCGAGTGCAGAATGGATCAATTGCACTACCTTCTATTACTGTCTCTTTCGTTTTTATTATGACGTTCCCTCTTCGTGATTGCGGTAGCGTGGTGCTTCACATATTATCTTCGATTTTACAAGACTCAAACCATATCTGCAGTGACGCTCTATATCTGGTCTCTGTTCGCGCACGGCACAGTAGTTTGACTCGCTTCGTATTCGCCGTGTGGAACGATGCGCAAAGCCTACACAGATTCTGCGTTACGCTGCTGCTTATCCTATAGCCTCGACCATCGACCACCGTTGGCTTGGATCCGCAGGGCTGAAGATGGAATATTTGTCCTTTGCTTCTTTGCTTAAGAGACCTATTTTTCTCCGATGTCCCTGTAATCCTGTTTTTGTGTTTTGGGGATGCGACCGTTCGGGTCATTTTTCTCAATCGAAGAATTGTGGAGAAAGACTCGTCATATGTTGTCAGTCTGCACATTCATGCCCGGAGCACTGCCGGAGGTATTGTCTTTCAAGGCCTGAGCTTTGTAGAGCTAGCTCACAGCGAAGCCCAGGTTCTTGTACATGTGACCCGGCACAACGATGTAAGATAACACAGGCCATGAGCCATGTATTGCTGGATTTGGCGATCCGGGGGCAGCGGCTGGGTCGGTCTCGAAGCCACGGTCGAGGTCTGGACCTGCCCGGGGGGTTCGAGGTCCGTGCAAGCAAACAAGCAACAAAGCATGGACACCAGGAAACGTGGAACTCACGGGCTCCCAACGCCCTTTCTTCGTTCGAGTGCTCAGAGTGAACGGTTGAAATACCGGTGATGATCTGGACCTCAGCTCGGGAGGGCGCGCTCCATGCTCTGTGTGCATCCTCCTCCGCCCGTACACGGGTATTGCGATGCTAGAAACATTCTTGAGTTCCTAACGAAGGTGGTCAATTGGGTTTGGCGCCTGTCGTCAAGATGACCGTTAATCTTGTCGCAACCATCGCAGGTGGACGAAAATGTGTTATCGGCGTGACGTACTAATTGGATCTGTCCTGGTCAGTAAATCTTCTATCTGGACTGTAGGATTCTAAACGGCAGCGAGGTGACCGTAATGTCAACCTATGTCAGACACATCTTGCGTTTCTCGACTTGTGTCACAGGAGAGTTGATGCATACCTCGAGATCTTGTACGACGCCATTTCGAAGCCCTCGGATTGACGGGGTGTATCAATTGCTTGCTCTTTTGCCTTTCTTCTTCTTCTTCGCTGCTTCGCCTCCATCTCAACTTGGGCATTCAAGGATACCTCGGGTGGTGCAGTCCGTGGTTCCGGATTGGAGCGAAGGCATCTCGAGATGTGGACATCCAGCCCTTGTCGATGATGTTCTGGGTCTGATTGAATTGAGCAAGAAACCTGGTTCGCTTGTCGGGCGGATATTCAGACAGCACTGTCACTGAGACGATCAAGGCACCACCTCGAAGGCGCCAGATCCAGGGATAGATTGTATTCGTTGTCTCGTCAATGCCTGTCACTTCCATGTCACTATCGTCCGACACGGTCGAAGAACCTCCTCAGAGTCGGCTTAGCGTAAGATGGCCCCCAAATCGATGTCAGTGTCTATACCTTCTGGCGGATCATGGACATCGTACCTCCGCGTGGCACGAACTGGAACATTCAACTTCATCCTCGGGCGCAAGCCCTTCCTGTCGATATCCTGGAAATGGCAATCTTCCTATCACTGAGATGGCGTTGCATGAAGACATCAGTATCTTAGCCGTGCTCTGCTCGAGAGTGACCTCCCCAGTCTGAAGGCCACTCCTGGCTTGTTGACGGTGAGACAGGTGAGGAGCATTCAGTCCAAAGTGGCGTAGGTTAGGATAAGAATAATATGCCAGGGCTCACGCCTCCTGAGAAGATCCCTTTGTGTGGGCCGGAATCGCTTCCGTTGAGTCTTCGTACGTATAGCGTTGCAGGACGATCCATGAATGTCAATCGAGAGCGAGCTCCACAGGAATCAGGGCCACGGGCAAATTGTAAAATAGGATACAGAAAGACAAGTCACAAACTCATTCTGGTGTCAAAGTAAAGTGATTTGTTCGATGGTCATCCGATTTGGCCCAAGCATTTTTCACCAACAGACAAACTGCGCCCCCCACATTTCATCCTTATTTTGGGATTTCGCTTCGAGAGGCATCGCTCTATCTTTTAACCTTCAAGACACTACGTACGGAACCATCTTAAACCCGTCAACCCGCCATCCGGTCCTATCGCTGCATCACGCTCGCTAATTGCTCCTCAAACCAAGACATGTCGGGGCAAGGCTCGCCCGTGCCGCCAATAGTGACATCGTGGAGGTCAGGGAAGCGACCTTTGGGGCGGGACGCGTACGTTGAGTGGAACAGGTGTGAGACTTCGACCAAATATTCCCTTTCTGGGAGACTTACTAACAAGCGATAGCCATTGTCAATGCTTGGGCGCGTTGTCCATCACAGACGCCGTCTTCCCCATTGAAGGCTGGAGGTTGACTCGTAACAGACCAACCGAATCAAGTTAATGCAGCCAAACGACATATGGTACACTCTCCTTCATCAATTCCGCTGCCCACCATAGTACCTATGGATATTTGATCGGAGTTGACAACACCTGGATCGCCGGACGATACACCGACACGGTGAGGCTGAGAATGGTTGGTATAGAGCCAGGGGACAAGATGCCCAAGGCACACAATGTGTCCCAAAAGGAGGGTAGCCTCGAGCCACGGGCCACGCCGTTATCATCTGATGATATAAGAAGCACTTTGATGTTCCGGCGGATAGCTCAAGCAACGGGCAGTCCGTCCTCATATCTGGCGCGCATCTGCCACGTACTCGTCCACCATTAGATTCACACAGCCTTGCAGTTAGGTCTCGGCGTTGTCAGGAGTATCGAATCAGTTTGTCGCTATGGCTGCACCGAAGTTGGCTAGAATTGGAGGGAGCAAAGTTCGCAGTGGCTGTGTTACGTGCAAGTATGTCATGCTATCTCGCAATTTTGCATTGAGAACGAACCTTGACCATTTTCAGGGCTCGTCACCTGAAGTGCGACGAAGAGCGTCCCAGTTGCCAGAGATGCATCCGAAGCAAGAGAGAATGCAAGGGATATGTCGACCAAGCGAAGATCACCAAGCCGCGCAGGAAGGGCCAGGCTTTTGTTGTTTATGTCCCGGACCCCCTCTTCACGATGACTTCCCTTCCGGACATGGACTGGAGAGAAAAGAGATCGTTCAACTTTTTTCGGAATCGAACCGCTGGTGAATTGGCAGGATACTTCCGTCCTGAGTTGTGGTCTCGATTTGTACTGACCACGGCGCATCATGAGGACGCCATCAAGCACGCGGTCATATCTATTGGTGGTCTACATGAACTGTTCCTGTGCCATCCACCACCCTCGGACTCCACTCTGCTTGCATTTGCCATGCAGCACTACGGCAGAGCGATGCAACATGTGGTCAAGCTTGATACAAGCAAATCTGCACGGGCAGTTGATGTTGCATTGACCGTGTCAGTCCTCTTCGCCTGCATTGAGATTCTTCGAACACACTTTGCCTCTTCGCTGAGTCACATATACTCAGGCATGAGAATATTAGCAGAGCTTGCCCGTCGTTCTGAGAATACCCCAGAACATTACCTGCCGAGGCATCTCTTGGTCCAAATGTACCTAAGACTAGACACCCAGGTCATGGAGTTTGGGAGGGATGGATTCCAAGCTCCTCCTGCCTTTGCGATAACCTCTGTCACTCCAGTCCCCGCCACTTTCACCGATGTGGACGACGCTCGGTCGGCCTTCGAAATGTATCGCTATCAGATATCGCACTTGACACGCAATGTCCAAGCGGCGAAAATGGAGTGTGATTCACCCACCTTGTATTTTCAGAGCCTTGAGGAAAGATATCAGCTCCTTCGACAGCACTTCAACGACTGGGGAGTCGCCTTTCAGCGCATGCTACAACGGAAACGAAGCCACGACCTTGCCGCACTAACCCTCAAAGCCTCGAGCATTGCTCTTGACATCACTTTAAGTTCATGCATGGAATGCAATGAGACGGTCTTTGACCTATGCACGGAGAAATTCAGGGAGTTACTCGCTACTTCAGAGGAGATCGTGCAAAGAATGCTGCAAGACTCTAGACCGAGAAGGTCATCTAAACGTCTTGAAACCGGCTGCCAAGATGACTCTCACAGTCGTTCTGAGCCTGCCATTTCCATGAACCTTGGGATTGTTCCGCATCTCTACATGGCAGCAACGAGGTGCCGGGAACCAGAGCTTCGACACAGGTCTTTGTTCTTGCTGAAGACGATCAAACGACGAGAAGGGATCTGTGACAGTGACATGTTGGCAGCATTCGTGGAAAGACTGGCCGTAGAGAAAGATGGAGCTCAAAGACGAATACAAGTTGTGCACAGCAGGACCAAGAGGCAGAGTGAGCTTTCCTTGTCGACACAAATCCCGGAGAGTATGGGAATCTCCAATACTCAACACCAGCCGCCAGATCTTGACACCATGTGAACACAACCCTCCTTTTCCCCCAAAGCGTCTGAGACCGAGCAACATACCGACGGTGTGGGACAGATAGATTATTCGGAAACATACCTCGTACAGACTTCACAACACAAGATACCAACAATACCTATCTCCAATGTTGCCAACCAGTCTTGTAGTCCCAGCCCCAGTCCCGGTGTCAGTCTCGGGCATAGGGTACTATAGTCTCTAGTCCCGACCATAGTCCTTACTAATTAACTGCTATACCCGTTATGACAGGCACTAGTTCACTTATAGCATGGTATTTTCGCATAGTAGATACTAGTCTAGTATGTGATAAGTTAGTGCATTCTGAAGAACAGAATAACGTAGTCCCGACCAATCAGCTAGCGTTGTCTCAGGGTGTGAGTCAGGACCTCGTTAGGATTAGAGTCTCCGCGACATCTGAGACTGTCGTCCCTGAAGACTGACTATAGTTGGGACGGGTTGGTTGTTAACGATGACTATCCTCGTTACACTCGTTCTTCACGAAGAGTCATGCCAGAGGGATAAATTCAACTGCATCATCACCCTATGAGACTTGTCTACTGGAATCATAAAGTCTGTCAACCAAACAACGGTCTGAGGACCCTGCGACTCTCTCAATAGCAGAGGTGACTTGCCCATCTCAAGACTCAAGCTGCGGACGCTCACACAACCTTTGTCTCGGCTGTCTTCTCCCGGACCTCGGAGACCTTCTCGTCACTGCTGTGGTCGATTCCTTGGAGGGCGCTGAGGCGACGAGTGAGACCAATTTCGGCGTTGATCTGGGCCATGCGCTCCTGGTCTGCAGCGGCGACACCGCTGGAGCCGAACACCAGATCCATCTCCTCAAGACTGAGTTGCTTGGTTTCAGGGACTGCCGGGTGGGTCAGTACTTGTGTAGGGGGTGAGGTTGTGGAGTCTCTTACCGAAAAACCAGATAAATCCAGCTCCCAGGGTGATCAACAAGCCAAAGAGAATGAAGGTCCCGTATGTGATGCCAGTGATCATGTCGGGAGTGACTTGGCCGACAATAAAGTTGTTCATCCAGTTCGAGGATGCTCCAAGGGCGATACCGTAGGGGCGCGCAGACAGAGGCCAGACCTCAGCGACAACGATCCAAGCACTGCATACATTGTTAGCTTCTGCGCATGAAACATGATTCTGGTTGCACTCACCAAGGACCCCAGGACCAACCGAAGTGGATGACGAAGAGCCACACCATGACAATAGCAGCCCAACCAGCAGCATGGTGAGTGGGCCATTGGTGCTGATTCTTCGCAAAGATGACGGCGATGATGAAGTGGCACAGACCCATTCCAAGGGCACCCAGAGCCAGGGCAGGTCTTCTTCCAATGCGGTCGATGTAAAGGATAGATGGGATAGTTGCCAACAACATGGCAATACCGACCACACCGGTTGCGAGCAGTGATGTAGTGTTTGATGACAGACCAAGAGAGCCGAAGATCTAGGGGGTCTGTCAGTATCTTGTAAGCCTCTCGATCGGCATCAGTGTCACCCACCTGAGGAGCATAGTAAAGCACGGCGTTGATACCAGTCCATTGTTGGAAGAACATGGTCACTGTCGCGACAATAACGCGGCGGAACATGGGCATTGTCTTGAATAGCGACCCGATTGCAACAAACTGCAACTTGATGGTGTTGGTTGCCGTCATTTCTGCCAGATGAGGGAAGTTTGCCTCGACAGTCCGCTTCTCGAACATCGACTGAGCCTTGATCTCGAGGAACTCCAAGTCAATCAGTTGATCATCGATAGGGAGTGATCTCAAGGTGGCCAGTGTCCGACGAGCTTCTTCTTCACGTCCATGGTGGACCAGCCATCGAGGAGTAAACGGCATCCAGACCATTCCGACAAGCAAGATGAGGGCAGGGAAAAGTTGAAGGGCAAGAGGCACGAGCCAGGCCGCTTCAGATTGGCCATCACCCGTTCCTCCGATATAGTTGGTACCATAGTCCTAGGGAAGGAGTTAGTTGAAACGCAAGACTGTTGGAGTCCATTGATGTTGGGGTTGAGCGAAGGCGAACAAGCAGCAAAGAGGGCCAGATCACACTGGGCCACAGACTCGTACTGACTCTCAAATGCCTTGGTGGTAGATGGATTGTGTTGGGCTGTCTTTGGCTCGACAAAAAGAGAGGGAGAGAGCCTCTGGTGGGGAGGTGGAGAGGTGGGGCAGGCGGTTTGTAAAGTGGAGCAGCCATCTGTACGAAGGTATCGCGAAGTGTCACACGTGACCAGAATAATCGATATACTTACAATCCAGAAGCTGACCATAATGCCAAACTCGATGGCGAATTGTTGCACTCCAATGAGCAGTCCTCGAAGCTCAGGAGGCGAGCACTCGGCAACATACATTGGTACGATCATCGAGAGCGAGCCCACGCCCATTCCCACAACGAAACGGCCTCCTAGGATGGCCGAGTGACCAGCCTGGACAGCGGTGCACTGCACGATGACACCAAGGATGAAAATGCAGGTGTTGACCAAGATGGCATATTTTCTGGAGATAATCTCGGCGAGGAAGCCAGAGTAGAGAGTGCCTGTCCAGGCACCCAACTCAAGGATAGAGGTGAGCCAGCCTTTCTTCGACTGGTCGGTCGTGTAATCACCCATGTGTCTATTGAAAGAGTTCATGGTCCTGTTGTGACAGTTAGCCACTTGCTCCCATCGCCAGTACAATCACCACCGCAGGTAATGGGGCAAAATAATTCATGAGACTTCTCTCCACAAAGAAACAGGAGCGACAAGCGACTTACAAGACACCACTGAAGACACCTTGGTTGTAACCGTAAAGCAGACCACCAATGCAAGCAAAGCAGGCAATCAGAAAGACGCGGAGGTTCCTGACCAGCGCCTGCGGGCCAGCCTTGCCGGCCAGCTGCATACGCTGTTGGAGAGCAGCATCGGTGAATTGGGACGTCTTGCCCGCGGAGTGAACCATGGTTGCGACTGTAGAGACCAGGTCAACAGCAACAAATGTCTGTCTCTTGGGAGAGTTGGCAAACTGGGGAACTGGAGAACTGGAGACAGGACCACGACACAAGGGCGGTGTCTTGGGGATATTGTATATCGTTCGACAGCTGATGACCCTGGGGTGGCCTGTGATGCTGATGGTGTGCCGTCTTCCGTCTTCAGGCTAATTCCAGATCCTGGAATACACACATGGACGCACATGGACCATGTCACATCCACCTCGATCATGCGTCCTGATGGCCTTTTCCATTGGAGAGTGGGTGAGATATCCTGGCACTCCTGGCTAGCCGACGTGCAATCGGGAGAAAGCGCAGCGAAGCATCGCACGGCTGGGCCTAAAGCACCAACCAAGGCCAAATCAAGGAATCGTCCTTTAGGGATCGGCAGCTAGCGTCCGTTTCTAAAACGCCATCGCAATCACCAGGCTCCGGATGTGTCTGACAGCGCTCCATTTGCGAATGCAACCTCGTACCCGTCGCAATAGAGGCTACAGAAAGCACTGACCTCCTCCTAGAACTCAGATGTCAGACCAGCATTTTCTTTCCCACTATCCTGGACTGGAGGGTCTGACCTGTTGCTATTGGTGGACGAGACTCGTCTGGATGTCTGGATAAAAGCCATCCACTCGCCCGTCGAATGTTCCATGGAACGTTGAGGCCAAACCTTGAGCTGACGGCAAGTGGTGGTGGTGGCAAGCATCAAGCACCAAGCATCGGCAAAACATCACGAGAGGCAAGAGACGGCTCCAGAGTCCCAGACTAAAGCATCCCCACAGAATGAAAAGCCTGGTCCTCCGCCTCCACAGTCACAGCGGACAGGCCTATTAGCCTAATTAACCGACATGACGACTTGATGAGTTGATGGGAGAGTCGTTCATTCTTCCCCTCCCCATCTCCTGGTCTGATTGTCTTTGTCCTTTTATCCAAAACTCAACCATGGCCGGGAAGAAACTGAAAAAGTAACACAGGTCGAGAGGGAAATCACCGAGGTGCAGAAGCTGGTGACGATATATCCGACGATACCTGAAACTAGAAATGATCGCCGTCATGCCCGTGCCTCCCCCGCCACCGGCCTTCAGCCCTTTACAACTCAAATCCACGCCACAAAATGCTTAGCGGTGCATATTTCTGTGGTTCATCGAACGTCAAGGCATCTGACCGAATGCACAGAGGTACTTTGTCTGTGCAGTCATCGCCATCGGTCACGACTCATGTCCTCCCGGTTGTTTACCGCCGGCTATTGAATACTGGAATGATCGTCGCTGCAAGACCGCTCTTGCGAAAGGATGAATTCTCTATGATGGCTAATTCCTCATTGAGGACTCGACGGAACTTGCGGAGAATGGAGAGGGGGCCCATTGTCAGTAGGTACCGGGTAGGTGAATGCAGTTGCCCTTGATAAACAGAGGATGGAGACGGTCAAGGTCGAATGTTCCCTCTCTTCAATTTATCCGCCGTGAAAGCGTGTATTGCAAATTTTCAGTGCAAAGAGCGTTGGAACCATGGCAGCTACTGTGCTTGGGCTCCTCGCGCTGCTTGCTGTGCCGGCGGCAGCGGATTTGTTCCCAGATTGTGTCCATGGACCTCTTGCAAACAATACGGTCTGTGATACATCTGCCTCGGTGGCAGACAGAGCCAGGGCGCTCATTGGAGCCATGGACCTCGACGAGAAGTTCAACCTGACAGGCAACACTTCTCCAGGAGTGCCACGTCTGGGGATTCATAGCTATCAATGGTGGCGTGAGTTCAACCCAACCCCCCAAGAGGCTTTGCTCGTTGTGCTCATCAGATATCAGAGGAAGCACTGCACGGCGTGGCAAGCTCCCCAGGTGTGACATTCAGCCCAAATGGAGAGTTTTCTTATGCCACCTCCTTCCCGCAACCGATACTTATGTCGGCGGCCTTTGACGATGCGTTGATTCATGCTGTTGCGACTGTTATCAGTACCGAAGCACGCGCCTTCAACAATGCCAACAGGAGCGGACTGGACTATTGGACACCCAACATTAACCCGT